TCTTCGAGGAGGCTCAGGAAGCAAACAGTCATAGGACCAGGGCAGTTTGTGCCGACCTTGGGAGAACTGCCAATCTTGTTGCACTCGACTAGAAAGGAGCAACAACGTATGAAGTTTATATTGATCAGATAAGCGAGCCAAGTAGTGTATATGCAATTCACTCAGACTGAAAAGGACTGCTTTTAACTAAGGGCTCAAAATTCATTAAAACAACCGTTGCAATAGATATTGCAACTATTCGGTGCTGAAATTGAATTCAATTCACATCTCTGGCATATTCGATCTTGGCGACACGTTTACCCGTCAGTAGCGATCCCCATGTTCATTTTTGTTGTTGTCAAAATCGAAAAAGTACCTGAACATTCTACCGAATACAATCATATAGAAGGATGCTGTACAAAATGAAACCGATTTGAAGATATCAAGAAGTATGAGCAAGGGTCCTTTTACGTTTGAAAATATGCCATGATGTCATGCTGATCCTGAGGTTTTGGAGCTCTTGTTCTGAGAGCTGCTTCGAAAACACAGGTGAGACAACCAATAAATTATCCTTCCAGGTTCTTTTCGCACCACCTTCTGCTTTTGTTTACCTTCCGGAATTCTGGTGTCTGCTGTGCCTTGCAGAATCGCCCAGGTAACACTGCAACATGATATCAAGGACAGCAAAACTGGTTGGTGCTTCTTCGTAATGCACTACTCATAAGGTTGCTGAAAATTCGTCGACAGTCCACGACCGACTTCACCCTTCTTGTGGCTGATCAGATAGGCACAGTCTTCGAGTTCTCGCCAATCTTATGTTTTGTTTGAAGCCAAATTGCACGAAATTAGCGAACTACGCCCATTCGCATACAAATATGATTTTGTGAGAGACCCAGCTAGAACCCAGCTAAATCTTTCGCTTGTTTTCAGACAACTAAATGTGCTGTACCATGCCACTTCGTGTTTCAGTCGCCACGATATTCGAGATATCGCGACACATGTATATTCGTAATGCACTACTGATAAGGTTGCTGATTTATGTTTCAGTAAATGGGAGGGCCGGGATATTTGAATTAATAACTCAAGGATATGAACTTAAACATTTTGAACAGAGTTCACACTAGGGACCTCTTTCTTACCAGGTGATTGCTCTCAATGTGTGTAGAAGTCCACTGAAATGTGTGGTACAGACTATTGATCACTGCTGTTATGTGGAATTCAAATGGGAAACTTTTCGGAAAAAATATCAGGCGAAAAATTCCCAGGCAGTAAGGAAAAGGGGGAGTTTAAAAAGGTTCATTAGCATAAAAATTTAGTTTGTACCATTGTTGGAAATGGCCCTTTCGTGCAGTAGTGTCAAAGCTGTTCACATTACTAGTATGATTTGAGCAACCAAAAATATCGATCTTTGCAGCTTTGTTTTGCGAGTTCTTTAGTACACTGATTTGCTGTGTGATTGTCGAGTTTTTAGTCAGTAAATATTTCTCAGAAACACATGAGGGGAACGCAGAATAACATCTTGCTTTTGCCAAATTGATAGTATTTCTGGGGTCAACATAATATCCGATGAACTTTGATTCTTCCGGTTGCAAACATCCCGCGCAGAACAAACAATGTGCTTGGAAAGAATACACATTTTGTTTACCCGAAAGCCCGACTTACACTCGAAACGCAAAGACCACAGTTCAAACACGGTTGCGTATGTCAATCGCTTTATGTCTTAAGCACAAGTAATACCCCAACCAATGAGGTCTTGACTTGACTTACTCGTCAAGTTTGATTAAAAAACGTGTGGTAGCGTCAGTATTGATCCTCACGAGAAAAGTACTTGTTGAATAACATTTCGAAGTCATTCAAAGAAATATTGCACTATCTTGGCTAATTCGAATCGGAGACGCGATGCTTTGCGTTTCATGTTTAACATGTACTGTTCTGATGTTAACTTCGTTTGCTCATTCCAGTAGAGCTCATTTTGGTTTCTTCGAAATGCGTCTTGTACCTCTGTCATGGTGGGAAAATAATTCTAAAGGCACGGTGTTATTTTGAAACCTCCCGGGCTGAGTGTGCCGGCTGGAGCCTACCTACCTCATCGACAACCGGAGTTCGATCACCCCGGGTCGCTTTGAATCAAAGGTGTTTCCTGTCCTGACATTCTGTGAACATATTGCTTCGGTATAGCTTGATAACTACTGTTCATACAGTATGAAATACATCCTCAACTGCGTTCATACACTAGCGTTCCGCTCTTGCAAAATTACTGTTGATGGTTTTATATTGGCCTTGTAGCATACAAAGGTTAATCTACAACCATAAAACTGGTTTTGATCTAGCGAATATACACAGATTTGCAAACTAATTTGGTTTTTCGAGAGACTCACCTGGAACCCAGCCGAATCTCTCGTTTGTGATGTTTCCCGGCAGCTGAATGTGCTGCACCAGGCCGTCTCATGTTTCAGTCATAAACGAGAGCTTGAGCTGAGTTTCAGGTGAATCTCTCGAAAAAACAAATTAGTTTGCAAATGAGTGTATATTCGCTAATCTCGTGCAATTTGTTTTCAATTAGAACATAAAATTGACGGAAACTCGGGGACTGTGTCTACCTGATGAGCCCCAAGAAGGGCGAAACCGGTCGTGGGCTTTCGACGAATTTTCAGCGAGCTGATGAGTAGTGCGTTACAAAAATATATGGTTTTGACATAATTAGAATCATCGTGATTAGCCGTTTTTGGTATCGACGTTTGTTCCTTGTTACTAAGCGCTACAAATTCTTGGTCATGTTCCAGTTGGGTAGGATTTTACAGTATAAGTTTAAACTCTCCTTGAATTTGAAGACTTCATGGGGTTAGTTCCCCTGAACGGCAGAACTCATAGGATCAACCGAGATAGATATGACTGGTACATCTTTACTCAACTTGCAAAGGAGTTCATCTCCTTCCATCGGTGTGCTATGCGGTTTTTTGAAAAGGATGCAATCTCGATATGGTTTGTTGGCGGTTTGGAGCTGCTGCGCTGAGCTTCAACGATAGCTCTTGCAAGGAGAATGCAAGTTTGATAGAAACTCGTGGACTGCGTCTACCTGATGGGCCCCAAGAAGGGCCCGTTGACGTGTTTTCAGTAGTGTGTTATGTCTAGACAACATGGGTTTTTTTGTTAGGCTGCAGTAGACTGGTACGCACTTCGCATTCGAAGACGAGCAAACCTAACAAGGCTCCCGGTGGTGTTGACTTAGGTCAATCTTCGTCGGAAAAGGCAGGAACAATCAGCGCAGACCAATTGGACAACCGTGTTCGTATCAACACTTTCATTATCGTGAACTCGATGGTGGGCTACCAAGCCAGCTTTCGGTTTGCAGCACTTGCCACATTCCTCACACGTGAACCCAACGAGTCTCCACTGTGTACTGGTTATAACTGGTGCGGAGGCGCCAGATGATTCGTGGTATACATTGTCGGAAGTAACCAGCACATTGAAACCAAACGGGGTGGTTGGCCCTGTCTGGAGTTGCTGAACTCTTAGCTCACCCAGACTGACGTCCAGGCTGGCCCGGTCGTACCTCCACGAGGTGGTGATTCAGCTCGCCGACCAAGACGATCAAACCTAACAAGGCTGCATGAGAAATGAATACCTGGAGAATGAAAACAAACCAAGGTTCCACATAAATGATGCAATCAAGTTGCAATCAACAATCGTGGTGAAAACTAAGTTATGATGAGATTTCCGTGAATCCTCCCTCGTGAACAAGTGAGTTTTTATGTTTGAGATCTATTCAACGTTGAAGTATAAGTTGAGGTCACCTGACGAAACGAGGAAGACATTGCAAACGACAAGGAATACAACGACCACAGAGGATGGACAATAAACTGGCACTAAGCACAAGTTAACCGACTCGTATGAGTTGAAAATAAAACAAGGCCGAGTCGCCCTTTCTAAATCTGACTTTGTACGGTTGGACAAAGGTGTTCATGAGACTAAACCATGTCCTAATATTTATGAGAAGAGTCGATATTCGACCGATTGTGACCACTGCTCCGGGTGTCAGAGACTGATACCTTGGATTTCAAAGAGTATTGAAGCTAAACTCTCAAGTCGCTCAAATGTTGGCACGCGGATCATTGATGTGTGTCCAGAATGGTGGAAAATCGATTTATTCGCATGACCGGTGTCCGGAGTTCAAATCTTGGAACGTCCATGAACGTGCACTACCTATGGACCCTAATGAGTGAGTAAACTATCACTATGATGTCACACTATTGTCAGGACATGAAGAGGACTGTTCAAACAAGAGCATATCAGTAAAAACCATGCAATCTTGCAACCGCCTCTCGCTACAATATGTACCCACAAAGTGGATAAAACTGTTTTTTGCAGCATATGCTGAGTCAGGCACGCGTCAGTCGAACGTTTGTCAAAGGATTAGCTGAGTTACTGAAGGAATGGCTTTGAAAGGCATGCGCATGTCAGCAAAGCGCTCAGTTCAAATGTTTGCGCGGACAAACTTCCAAGACGAAATGTTTGTGAATCTACCTAAAAAGACATTCAGCCCGGACAGATGACCTAAGCAACAAATCCACGTGAACAAAAACGGCTTGTCTGTCATCATCATCATCATCATCATCATCGGCAGCATGACATCAGTGTTCAACACCGATGCTTTACTGCCGTATAACCATGATTTACTTGAAAGCCTTATTGTGAACAAAAGAGTAAAGGTGGACGGGTAAGGGACTAAGTGCTAGCTCACCACACACATTCCGAGGTGCCCATACCTCCAGACATTCACTCAGGTGATCTGGATAGAATGTGACAACAAGAACGCTACTGCACGTCTGTAGCTTTTCACAATGTACATGCAATCAGAAGTTTGAAAATGGTCTGCCAGCAAATCCTATTCGGATGTCAGGCAGCCAGCTGCCAATATGCTGTCTTTTGTGAACGTTGCGTAACAATTTTGAAAACAAAATCTTTGATTCTTTGGCATTTAATGGGAAAACAATTCAGGGGGGCAGAGGATAGTCACTCACCGACCGGCGGATCCTCGGGTGGCCCGATGTTCACTGCTTTGTGTTCGCATCTCGGTCCATAATATGGCATAAAGCAACTGTGGAATGAGAACAATGGAATAACTGGTGATAAGTCATCCTATTTTAGTCAGTCTCCAGAGGCAGAATTACTTGGCCATTGGAAGATGGCCGAGTACACTTTATCTCCCCTTGAACGGTTTACATGTGACCTCAGTGAAAACCTAAGCGACCGGGTAAAACCGCATTGCCCACATTTTTACTCATGCAGCAAAAGAAACACTGTCTTTGTGTAGATGACTTGGGAAAACTTCAAACCGACATCAGCAAAGTCAGATGGTTACCACAAGATAAAGTTTTACGCTTAACAAGCAGTCCCTAAAATTATACTATTTACTTTGCTTGTTTTATTTTTACCACTGTGGTGAAAGCGAACGCATTAATCACGTGACGCATACGTGTACGCCCACATCCTAGTTGGGTTGAATTATTTTTAGTGAACAATTTGTGTATAGAATAAGCCCTCAAATCTAAGAGGAGAGTTGAGTGACGTTCATTTACTCGGTTGAGGAATTTAGTCCCCTTTATTGCCTGATCGCAACAACTGAACGACAGAAGCCTTCTTTAGTTATCACCGTTAAGGACACATTTACAAGGGGAACGTACAGCGTAGAAAAGTTGTGAGCTACATTTTCTCAAATAGTTAACTATTCAGGTCATCTAACCGGGCTGCGGTACTGAGTGTCTCTAAAACGGCAGCATAAGTACAATTTAGTTGTAGGTAGTTGCGGGATTTGTGGAACTCTCCTTCATAACGCTCGTTTGAATAACTCTTTTATGGTGACTGGGAAGTCCTGACAGATGAGTGATTCGATTGGCAGCTCCAGGATGGTTACTGGTTTGTCATTCTAGGCGGCGTCCAAATCAATCACATTTACAAAGCGCAAACGTGATTGCCTGACCTCTGGAAAGCCGTACTGAGTTCTTTATCCATCCGTTTTTTCCTCTCTTTACAATAAGGTCTTACGATAGCAAAACATCACTTTTTGACGACGGGATCACGAACCAGTTACATCTGATCTACGGAGATCAGCAGGGCATGTCTAATAATTTCGGCCTTGATAAACTTTACTCATGGAATGTTGCTCATAATACAACGTTGCAATTATCCTGAATACATGTTTAGTTCAATTCGCAAAACCCCTGTACGCAGTGGCCACCAAACCTTCGTCAATCTTGGCTAGCAAATCTGCGCACAGTGCGCACACTGGTAAATGGTGTACATTGTTCTCTTCCGGTGAATATGCTCTGTGGTTTCATTCGTAAAAATCGATAACGGTTTCGATTCCAGACGTTTGACAGCATACGTTCGGTTTGTTTTATTCGGATCATATTGTATTGCGCCCCTTTGAACTTGCTTTAAGGGTCACGTACGTCACTGGGACAACAAATAAAATAAAGAACTCCTCCTGGTGAAAGGAAGCATCTACTCATCTCTGGAGTTGTTTGTTCGGAAACCACAAACAGAGTGGGTGGAATCAATCAAACATTCAGGCAGAAAACTCATTTGCGTAAGGAGCTCAGTGGTCTGAGGCTTCCATGAACGGCGTTTGATCAATTGACATCAACAAACAAAGTGCTCGGTACACTCCAAAGAAGCTATCGGTTAGCTGTGAAACTGGCGCTTTGAACTGAAAACTGGTATCACTCGCACGTTTTGTTAATAGTTATCGTGAAATTCATATTTCTGGAAATAATTCCAGAGTACCAGAAACCTGCTGAGACCGAAATTGCATTAAGGAAACTTGCAAGCATCCAGCCAAGTCAATCAATAAATCGATCAATAAATTCAGCAACGGCTGACGATGACGAGTGCTCAGGCACACCACAGAAGCTCGACCGACTATGATAAGTGTTCGTTCATTTCATAGGAGCATAACTGATGATGATGAGTGCTCACTCAAGGCCAGACAGACAGCCTGGAGTCATGTCAATGGTCCCTTAAGTACCGTTTGAAATAAAGCTGTTGTGTTCTTTGTTTAAGAGTCGTTTTCCTACACTAAGACTCCTAAAGGATACCAGAAAATGTTTCCTGGTAAGCAGTGCGGTTTCTGGTGTGTCTAGGAGCAAACGTCTTTTACCTACCTGCAAATGTAGACAGTCGGATCCTCGGCCTGGTAGAAGCAGTCACCACCATTGAGACAGTAGACCTCTTCCGATGGGGGACAGTTGTTATATGTGGGCACTGCAAAAAAAATTAAAAAATAAAAAAGACAAAAACTCAATCAAATTTAACAAAGATTTGGGAGTAATTAAATGCTAAACTACAAGGTGTCTCACAATAGACGCCAAAAAATAACACACATTTAAACCTTTAAAACCAATTTAAACATTTATTATTTTTTACATAATCATACATGCATTATGGAGGTTTAATATTAGCAAATCAGCATTACAAATATTTGAAACAAACCGCCCTTTTTTTGTACACCAATTTGGAGGTGGTATGAGATGTGAGACAAAGCATGTTTAACTTCTTCAAGCATCACTCGTGCACACTCCTCTTCAATTCTTGCTCTTAACTCCACCACATTCCTCGGTTTATTTTCATGATATACACGAGCCTTGATCGTTTCCCAAAACCAATAATCCAGAGTTGTGAGATCGGGTGACCTTGCGGGCCAAAAGTTTTGAAATCCACGAACAATGAATCTCCAATCAGAAAATTGCTCTCGGAGGTAAGTTTTCATTTGGTCTGAGTAGTGTCGTGGAGCGCCATCTTGTTGAAAGACGGTCGATGACTTCTTGTGCTGCTTGAGTTGCGGAATAACACGCGTCTGCATCATATGGAGGTAATTGGCGCCGGAAACCGTAACATCAAAGAAAAAGGGACGCAGGAGACACTTTGAGGAGAATCCCATTTACCCATAGCGATGAGGGGAATGGAGATTATGGGTGAGGTACTCGTGAGGAGCTTCACGGTACCGTATCACGCAATTGTGCTTGTTGATTATGCTGTCCACAGAAAAATTTGCTTCATCACTCCATAAAATGTTGAGAACGATTTCTTCATTATCCAGTAGCCAGTTAGCGAACGTGACACGTTGCTCTTTGTCTTCTTCCTTGATGTTTTTTAATGATACGAATAGAGATGAAGGTGGGATCTCATAAGACGAGGCACGCTGGCGCGGGCAATGCCGGTCAACTGAGACACCTGTATTATTGACGAAGAGGCAATGGTGCTTTGGGACTGAATTTGCCCGATGGCATTCTGTACGATGGGCGCTCTTTCATCACCCAGAGACTTTCTCCCTTTGCCAGGAAAATTCAATACAGATCGAGTAAACTCTAAATTCGTAATCAAGCGTTTTTTTGGTTTTGTAACCACGAAGTGCTGCGGTGGCGCTTTTAGCAAGGAAATAATAGAGTTTGACAATTTCATTGCGCGTACTGATATTCATAGTGAACAAGAAAAAATGTTAACATTTGCAAACAAAACCTCTTTTATGTGGCTACTAATATGGGAAATTTCGTTGAACATTTTAAATTGGCTACGTTAGTTTATTAAATCAAATTTTGCATTTATTATGAGACACCCTGTACATAGCTTAAATTAGGCCTGAAAAAAAAACAAGTTCATGATGACAACGTATTTGGATTCCGCCAAACCGTTCGCTGGGAACCTTCATGCACAACAGTGCAAAACATTCGATCATATTTCCCCCGGTTGCTGCGTGAAAATAAACATCACTAGAAGAACTGCACTAGCCCGAATCACTTAAACCCCCATCAGAGGTGGATCGAGTCACACATGGGAACAGTAATCAGAAAACCAAAATCAGGGTGCCATGTTAAAGTTTCCCGCCTGTTCCAAAGTACCATGAACAATGCCAAACTTTGTTGCAAGATTACCAGCCACGCCACAGTGAAGAGCTAGGCGATGGTTCCCAATTTGGGGAGTAAGTACAAAGCAATAGCCTTGGAGAAGTCGTTCGAAAACGGAAGACGGGTAGAAGTAACCAACATTTAGTATTATGCAATAATTAATTTGATTGTGACATGTTGCGGGTAGGAACGTACGCAAAAGCAAGAAAGACCTAAGATTTACTCTGAGGTTGCCATGGTTTCACTGGTCGATCCCGTGGCTATATAATCGCACAGAGTTTGTAAGCTGTACCGTATTATCTCCTATTGTTTCAAAGGCTTTGCGGTACAAGTGTGCAAAATCAATACACCTTGCAGATTCGGTGTTCCTCTTCCCACATAAAACTGATCAGACGTTCAAAGTGCTTTAATGAAGGAGACTCTATTATAGGCTAGAAGATCGTAGGAGAAGTAGAGTGAAATAAGCCAGATATTCTAAACAATTTAGCATTCTACGTTCAGTTAAACCAAACTAGTTGTAGACCACACCTTATATCCATCGACTGTGTGTCACCAAAAATGTTGGCGTCATGGAAACACCCACAAAAGGGGGTCATCAAATGATGCCAAGCGAAACCATGGCCACCTGTTGAGCTACCTGGAGAGAATGAGGAAACAAAAACAACTTGGCAGTTAACGCCAAAATATCGGCCCTTTTGCCAAATCTTAGGCATACATAAACAATGGTATGAAACACTAGTGACTTTCCGTCAAACACATGGGATATTCCGCAGGGGATATGTGGGACAAAGGTCCCTTTACAGTTCGTTTGAACCAACATCTAAAGTCTAGGTGACGTCATCCAAAAAAATTACAATATCTAGAATTTTCTCAAGACGATTGTCAGCTGTCAGACTTATTTTGAACTTCACTTAGGCATATTTCTTAGTTGTCCGTTGAAATATGGTCGATCAAAGATGAGCGCTAATCAGTAAACAGCACCTACCTGAGCTGGAACACGATGAAACCAACGATAGTCATCATCCCTATTTAAAACACGGTTTTTCAAGGCATAATCGCACTAGTTGAAGACGGTAAGTTCATAGAAAAATGTCTCATAGAAATGGTTGATGGAAAACCATATGAATTTTGAAGGAATTTGATCAATACGCTATTGTCATCATCCCTA